CAGCAGTGGCAACCAGCAGTGGGAAGAAGCTGACTCAGCAGCAATAAGGGACAGGTAATTGCAGAGGTGCTACTTGTCCCTTTCTCTTTCAATCAGTCTGGCTCTGATGCAGTGAGCGGTAGTCCTTCATTTCTCTGAGCCAGGGATACAAGTAATGAATTCCAGAAAAAGTATGTGAACTGAAATGAGCAGTGGTGAGAAGCAGTGCACTGTACAATGGTATTTTACAATGATATACTAAAAAAAAGAGAGGTCAAAAGCAAACTACCTTTTTATTTTATATTACTGAAAATCTTTTCTAAGTTTATATTAATTAAAAAGAAAACACCCTACTGAAATAATCCTATTAAAATGGAGTTAGGAAGTAAGAACTCAAAGAAAATGACTGTATTAAAGATCTTTCTCTTCCTAGGGAATATGAAAATATCAAATTCAAAATACTACACTGTCATCTATTAGACCACTTAAACTAGCTATGACCTGTTATTTGAACGACACTAGCGCTTTTCCCTTGCAGAACTGTTATGTACCACACAGTCTTTGCTGACAAGATACCTAAATGATATGCTTTTCATGGTGCCAGAGAAACAAAATTCAGCAAATGTCCGTTTCTGTGTTAGTTTTAAGATGAAAAGCAATAGATGAAAGCAATGTCCCTAATATGACCAATGATGAAAGACCAGTTCTGTGGCAGAGACAGTTTAACAAAACCTGTGAACTGAGGAGGCTCCTCTGGAGTACGGAGGGCAGGGACAACAGTAGGACTGTATGTACCAGCCACTGAATAAAGTCCAGTTGTACTGTCAGTGCCAGAAACTAAGTCTTATTTGAGCTGAAGAGAGTTAAATCAGATCCAAATGTAACTCCCCATGTCTGAAAAAATCTGAAATAATGATGTGAGCTATAAGGAAGACTTAAAAACTATAGAAGAAGCTGTGCAAAACACCTTTGGTGCTTATAATAGAGGATATACTGAAAACTCAACCAGTCCTACCAAGGACACAATGTGAAGAAATACCAATTAGTAATGAGTCACAAGTCCCCGCAGTAGAAATAGCCTCACCATAGCACCAGTGGCTGAGTGTGGAGATCTGAAGCTTATTTATTGCACTTCAATCTGGATTCTTACTCTAGTTGAATTTTGTATTATGACAAATAGATACCGAGTCAAATGTTACTGTCTTCCATACCAGGAATATGTCACAGAGTCAGTTACACTGAAAAAGTGTACTTTATGTGTATAGCTTGGTGTATACCAGTTTGCAGAATCAGGCCTTCCATTTGCAGACACACATTTTCCTTTTCATTATAGAGTTAACACTGTGAATGTTGACACTGCTATGGCTATAAAAAAAGAACTGTAAATGTGACTGCTACAATCAGGGGGGTTTGTGTTGTGGCTTTTTTTTTTTTTTTTCTGGAAAGAGGAGTACCCTAATTATCTGAATCATGGCTATTGAAATGAATTACAGCATTCTGTGTATATGAAATAAGTATTTTTAAAAGCTTAAAAGCAACTAAAGATATAAAATAGTGTGAAACTAATAACTAAAATTTTTGAGCTATTTGAAGAAAGTTGCTGGCAGGCTTGTAGGTGGTCTACGTAAGACTCCCACACTACAATCTTTCCAGGCATGCTTTTGTGCTTGATTAATTAGAGAAACTAGGCAGAGGTGATACTTTTGCAGTGACAGATGTTTTCTTATAATTAAATCAATCTGGTATATATTGCCCATCGAGCATTAGGTCATGAAATGTTCATAAAATGCCAACCAAAGTGTCAACTGGAAAATTAAAAATTTAATATTTAGATGGATGCCTTTGGTAAAAACTGGGATCTTTCATTTCATAGAAATACAGTATCATGAATTTACTTTGAGCATCATATATTAAAATAATTCTATGCAAATAGGCATGCCGGTTAAATAAGGTTTTAGAATAAGACTGTTTAAATTAATAAGTAATATTTTAAAATGTCAGTCAACACTTCATGGAAAAACAAAGCTCAGTTTAATTAGGTTGGTCACTTGTGGCTTAGGTAGGAAAAGGATTAGCATGTATTTTAAGTTAAGGCTGCCCAAAGCTTTGTGTGGGTTTTACACAGGTATTCACTTTCATCTCAATAAAAGAATTAGTGTAACAAATGCCAGCTTACATGGTGCTTTGCTGCTTATGGCACAAAAGAGCTTCTCAAGAAACGTGATGTGCTGCCGTGTGAAGGTCAGGCAGAGTTTACGGAAAATTGGAAAAAAAAAGATCTTGGAAAAATGTCTTTGCTAACAAATATGTAGTATGGTGGTATAGACAAACTTTTTATAGTTTGCTGATGTCAACTTTATTTTGACTAATTGCTCTATAAAAGGAAAATAATTGTAGTACCAATAGAGAAGATGTCTTTCAGCAATCACTGGCATATTCCAGTGGGATTGGAAGGGAAAGATAAACGGTTTGGGGTAATATACTAACTTACATGATTTTGTGTTTAATATGCACAAAAGTCAAGTGATTGACAGTAATGTTTTCAGTCTGGCATAACTTGCCTACTGTAGACGGCAGTGTATTCAAGAAAGCAGAGTAGATATATTGCACTTGCTGGGAGGACCACGCTTTTCCCTAGCATTAATGCAGAGAGGTCTCTACACAGTACTGAAAAATAAATGGGGCTTAGTACATATTTCAGGCTTCACCGGATGGAATTATTTTCTGTCTCCCTGGAAGATGGACCAGAAAGTGAGAAGAAAAGAGGTTACAAGGCCCAGGCACATGCCAAATCTGCATCTAATCTTCATAACCACAGGACTGAGGTAGATGGTATGTATTTATAAAGCAAACTGTTGCATACCACATTTATGGCAGTCAGTATGCCCTTATTGCAAATATTGCACTTTGGAAGTCCTGAGGACTGACAGCCCAAACTGCTGGAACAGCACGCTCATTGTTCTTAACTACTGTGCTCCACCCAAATTTAAGAGCAAAGAATAATAACATTTTGTTTGGGGGAGAAAGTAACAAGAACCTTAAATGTAAATTATTTTCACAGACAAGCATTATTAAAAGACTAAAACAGACAAAAAAAATATTTTGATACTCTCTAAAAGATATTTCCCTTTTCTCTTTTGTAATTTTATTCTGAAGTGCCTTCTCAAATCTTCTGAAAGCTGGGATTTTTTGAATCAGTCCTGAAAATTGCAAATGTTTCTACTACAAGTTTCCAGCTACTTTATTTTCATATCTACTGTAAAATATGCTAATAGAAGAAAGAAGTAGCTGCACTCTGATAATTCAATGGAAATTATCACCTGGTGTGTATTTACTGTGTTATTGACCTTGTATTTGCCAAAAGAATGTAGGGTCATGTACATTCCAGACAACCAGATACAGAAAGTATATTTAGAAATATGCCATATTTGAACTTTTTACAATAGGGTTTTTATTGTGAAATTATGAGGAATTATTGGGAGACAATAAAGAGGTGGTTGGGGTTTTTTTAAGTGTCCAAAATGAAGAACGCTATTTAGCAGATGCTGTGAAAACTGAAATGTTTGGAAATTTAAGTCTACTTAATACAAGGAACATAACAATTCCAAACCAAACAGCACAGGTGTGAGAGTCATCATTCCCAAAAGTAGGCATGCTGAAGGAAACCACTGAGTCTAGCAAAGGACACATGTTGTGTGCTGTTAATGCAATACATAAGGTTCAAACTCATCTGGTGGTAACAGCAACGTCTTTCAGCATCACTGACTGCTTGTATTCAAGCTGAATACAATATTGTCTGGTTTTTTATCCATCCTGAATATGATACCATTGGAAATGTACGTTAATGGCAACTTCTCTTGTATCTTACATGTGATTCAAGCCTATACTAATCATCAATATTGAAATGCAACTTCTGGGAGAAAACAAGTCCCCTTAGATGTGTTCATTTGGAACACCACAAATGCAGTTCATTTGGAACACCACAAAAAAACAGTTCCACGCCTCTGAAATAAATCAGAGATAGTCAGGTAATTCAGGAATAGCACATAGAGCTTGAAGGGGTTTGTTGTTGTAGCTTTTTGAATTAGCTAGGTATAAGCATTGCTACAGTTTATTCTTTTCAGTGAGAACATAGGATCTGGGTTTTTAAAGGGTCTCATGGTGCTACTAGGTGCAAAGGCACTGAAGCACTGGGCTACATCAAGAACATGTAGCTGAAATTAACCACTTTAAACATTTAAACATGTGCCACATTCCGCACCCCCCACCCCACCCCGCCCCCGGTCTATAGCATGGTAAGGCTCAGACTCCTGCAAAACCTAAGTTGCTCACATAACAAACCCAGTTGACAAACACTGTGATTTATGAGAAAGGAAGGACACTTATTCCCCAGTAGCACAACCAGTGAAATTCAGCCACATTTAGACAAAAAAAAAAAACCTCCAAAACTTTACACTACTGCCCATTCAAGTCAAACAACACTCTCCCATTTTAGGATGCAAACCAAGCTTGGCAGATCTATTAACTTTCTGTCCTGGCACAACAACTTTCCCTTGCCTTTACATGCAGCAGCTAGGCTGGAGAGATTAATATGCTCAACTACCTCCCTACTTAATCTCTCCTTGTCTCATTCCACAATGGTCACAATCAAGAATTGAATTCAGGTCTTTCTGTGGCCTTAACAACTGCTCCAAGCTTTGTATAAGCATAATTCCAACTCCTTAGCACACATGTTGTTGTATACATTGTGCATACTACCAGCTTAATCATCAGTCCTTAAAATATAAAGCTAAGAATGTCTTTACAGGATTGGAGCTCTAGCCTGCAATGTGTTCCTTGTGTGTGCTGCAAATAATGGAGATAAGTGAATGAAATTCTCACAAAACTTTTAATTACTCTTCTCAGTTATAAACAGCAAGAAAAAAATTAAGTACATAGCCACATATATGCAAATAGATAAAATGAGATATATGATTTCCATATACTCCAAAACCTTCAAACAAACGAACAGAAGTGCTTACCCTTGTCAGCGTCAGTGTTCCTTGTTTACACACACTGCAGCGGACCCTCAGTTTCCCAGGTTTCACAGCTTGACAGAAATTTTTGCAAAAAACATAAAAACTGTTGTAGCTAGCTGCGCCTGTCAGGAAGAAAAAAACAACAGACAAAAACATTTGATGTATACTGAAAATCAGTAACAAACTGTCATGAAAGGTTTCCACTTGTCTCTATAAGTGATAAGTAAAAAAAAATAGGTTGACTAATTTTAAGGTCTGAAGACAGCATTGTGATCATCTTATCATGCCCAGTCTAGTTCTTAACGCCTTTCAGTAACTCCTGCTTCTTGATCAATTGCTATTGGTGAACTACACCCTAACTCCTAGAGAGTTTGAGCTTACCACTGATGCGCACCAACTGTAATCTTTGGCAAGTGATGTATAAGATTAATTATCCCGGCTCTCCATAATTTGCATTTTACTTCTAGTCTAAATTTGTTTAGCTGCAAGTTTTAGTGAGTTTAAATTGCATGAAAATTTCCTTGGATGAAGTTTTAGAGATCAGTTTGACTGCTATCACAGCAAGGAAAAAAATAATTAATTTAGCAAATTTAGTTTTATTCATGGAAGACTGGGAACCATTTCTTTATTCTTGCTGGCAGTGGTATAACCTAGCAAAGTTTGTAAACTGCTGCCAAGATATTAGGCCAAGTAAATTTTCAAGGAAAATTAAATGAAATGCATTCTGTTCTGTGAAACTACGAACAGAAGATGATATGCAGAGAATTGTGTAAGCCTGGGGCAATGCTGATGAATTTATTTTCACATGCAATCCTGATCACTGTTTTGAATAACCACATTTTGGAATGGCTATTGTTATTCCTTTGAAAAATGATGGAAGACTCATAGAACGGTTTTAATCTAGACTAGACATCTCCAAGTTCAGAGACTCAAGGTTATTATCAGAAGTTGAACTGAGATCAGAATAAAGTTTTCAATAGATATTTCCCATTATCAAGAGGAACAGTTGTGGCAATTTTACCCATTAACACTGGTGAACTTCAGAATCAATAGCAGTCCCTTAGACATCAAAAGTTTTTCACGGTCTTATTTCCCATTCCTCTATCTCTCCCTAAATTTGTCAGCAATATACTTTTTATGCATATTTGAATCCTAATATGCTACTGCAGTAAATATGATCTGGCATAATATTTTTAAACATGACTGACTTGCTTTAATTTTACATGGCCTTCACATGGTACTGTTTTCTGCCAATGAAAATGCCTGTTTCATGTTACACCTATTCATAGGTGTCCTAACATAAATGTGCAACTAGTTTCCAAAACTGAACTCCAGAGAACTATGTCATCCAAAAAACTTTGTTTCTAATAAAATGTATGTAGATGTCTCCAAAGAAGATGTACACTGCTGAAAGAAGAAATTTTATAACACTCTTCCAAGTTTTCCAAAATGTGATGTACCATTAATAGTCAGCAGACTTATCGAGTGTTTTCATTATGTTTCCCTGGGGAATATTAATCACCATAGCAGAGCATAAAACATAACAGAATTTAAACTACATTTAGTTTTGTGGAAAATTAACACACATCCATACATTCACACATATAGAAACTTTTTATATGAATAAGTGCAGCGCAAAAGGTTGAGAACACACTTCTCAAATCAGCCTAAATCACAGTTCTGAGTTTAAAATAGTTCACCTGAAGATAAAAAGGCTTATGTTGAACTATTTATTACATGTTACACAGTTAAAAGGTAAATTCAAACTAAACGTGACAAAATTTTGGACATTTAGATTCCTATTCATTCATATTTTGCCTCACGCTCCTAACACTAGGACTGGGACCATCTCTGGATAAGACTCAATTTGAGCTAGAATCCACAACAAAAATCGGAACTGTGGTATTGCAAATTAGACTTGCAAATGATCAAATTTTACTTTTGCATTTCCTCTATGCAGCATCAGCAGGTCAATCAATAAAACAAAAGGGCAGTACCTTTGTCGCATTTCAAAGAAAATACTATATGACTTAAGTAAGCACGAATGTTATTGTTAATATAGGCCCACAATAAACAAGATGATTCCTGACTCAGTCTCAAGTGCAGAAAGTAAGACCAGAGCCCTTTAACTATTTGGTATCATCAGTGATCTTCCGTTGCTCTGATTTCTTATATGGGCAGTCTAAAAAGACTAATTACACTGCTGCTTCTATTCACATATAGAAGCACTTATCCTGAGTAGATCTGTGATGCCACTACTGACTGTCCTAATTCGGTCCTACTGTCCAGAAGGATTCCTGCCATGACTCTAATGAAACCCTCCCAGCCAAACAGAGCCATCTCATCGAGTGCATGAGCCCATACAGAATAAAATATTTTGTTAATTGCCTGATGCCTTTCCTGATGGAGTCCTCCACTCCCTGATGTCTTGTGTCCCTGTCTCACATTTTATACCAAATTTATTTCCAACTAATTTTTCAAATAAAGTTTATTAGCAAACTGATTGAGACAGAAATCCGGCTTTCTGCCTGCTTTGTGTTCTAAGCTCATTCCATCTGGACCCAAAGATAAAATTGTATTATTGATAATAGTCTGCAAAATATTCACAGGATAATATGGCATGTATCAGCATGACTGAATACTGCAGTAAAAAATATCAGTCATAGGAGAGACCTAAAATGAGACATATTGCTGATTTACTATAAAGGACAAATCTTATGCATTAGCTTGATATTTACTTTGTGCAAGAATAGACTATGTTAGCTCAATATTAATTTTTCTTAGCACGTTCTATATTTTTTTCCTTTTTCACGAATAAAAAAAGTACCCCCAAACACATCCCCTATGTACAAATTTGAAACACAAGAAACAACTTTATAATATAATAAGTTGGAGCAGTTAAGCAGCACAGATCTATTCGGAGACCCAGAATAACTTTTGAAATGTCTGCTGTAGCAAGGCTGCTGGAGAGGCACGACATGACAAGAGGAATGTTGTGATTCTTAGAGGAAAGTGTAAATGAAGATTTTCAGCAATCCATTCACCATTTTATGCAGATGTGATGATCCCATTCTCACAAAGTGCAGTTACATCATTAGGTGTATGTCCTGAGCAGCATCACCAGGAGTAGAAAAGAGTGATTTAAAAACTAAATGCTAAAAGTCATCATACAGTATAATACTGATGGCCAGCATTAAACTCATTACTGACTTGTTAATGTCACTGTGGTTTTTAATGTGGCCCTTGGCTGAGACTGCATCCCCTTGAATCCCTTTTCAGAGGGGAACTGAAAGAAACAGGAACAAAGAAATCTGCTTTATTCATCAGTTCTGACGTAGTAATATTAACAAAAAATGTAATTATGGCACAATGCCAGTAATCGCTAAAATATCTGCAGAACCAACCTTAGAACCTTGTCTATCCTCATTCAATCCTGGTCTATAAGCTTTCATAAAGCTTTCCATCAATATTTTATATTACTGGCACTCAGGAAAAAAGTGCAGACACAGCAAATTACAAGTTTAAAAAAATGGAAGTCCCTATATAAATGCTGATTCTGATATTGAACAGGAGCATTAATGCTATAAATAAATAAATAAAATTATAATTACTAGTCTTTGTAGTTACGCATATTGGTGAGCAGAGGAAGACAGGGAAAAACATATGTGCTGTATCTGCTTTTATTCTTTTCTGAGAAGGTAAAGACACAGCAATCTCAATTTTCAGGTTCATATTCCAAATATTTATTTGTGGGGCAAGGGTCTCATAACAGTCTCTTCTGACCATCAATGATTCATCTGGTGTTCTGGACACTCTAGTTTTCCCACAACACCTAGTACATCTGTATATCTTTTGACAAGCCATTTACTTTGAGTCTCCTGCTCTTAAAGATGGTGCAAGAAGGATCTGTCATTTTGTTGACAAGTATTTTACTTTAATTTACTGTAAACTGATAAAGATGACACCAGAAAATTGACCTTACAAACCTGTCTTTCTCATAGGTACAAAAGCATTTTTCAGAACATGATCATAGGCTAACTTTTTAAGAAGCCATCTCCAGCAGCCAAATAATTTCCATCTGCATTGGTAAGATCCTCTCATAACTTGTTTCAACATATCAAAACTTATTTAATGCACTACTGTGTGGCTGTACTGGTCAACCTTAACTGCGCTTTGTATTTGGTGTGAACACTCACAGCACTGAATCTTTCAGGGAAAGTAAGTGAATGTCTCCTGTCTGGAGTCCTGAGAAAAGCCTCTCCCATCTATAGTCAAAGAGAATTCACAACCACCCTAATCAGGTCATCTGTTCTAGTACTTCAATATCTTTTTTTTTTTAAGAAGATATTCCTTATTTTTAACTTTAATCTTCTGTGCTGAAATTTAACAATTACATCCTCTACTTTCCACCAAGGATATGGAAAATTATTTATTTTCTTTCTCTTTGTAGCAGGTTTTTTTATTGGTTTTCTATTTCATGGGCTAGTTGACCCCAATATGGTCATTCCTTTCTTATGTGTAGTACTAGCTAGACCTTAAAATATTTCTGTTGGATTTTTCTTTAAATAGTGTTGGGTCCAGTTCCTTAAACCTGTCATAATTTTCCAGCTGAAGTCTTTCTAATGCTGAGCACAATAGGGTTCTTTTTAGTTTTTTCTTTTTTTAAAGACATCTTGAAGGTTAGACTTCTGTTTATCTGTTCCTGTGTAATATTTCACTTAGCATTATGGGCATAACTTAATTGGTTCCTGTTCAGTTTATGATCTAAAATGAACTCCCAAACCCTTGTCTGCTTCATCTGTTGTAACACATTCTGTAACTGTGTTGCTGAATACTGTCAGCCAAGTGTAATACGCTGTGCTGGCCCCTTCTGAGAAGCATGTTGTTTTTTTTTTCCAGACTATATTTCCAATTTGTCATTATCATTTTACATTCTCAGGCTGTCCTCCAGTTTATCTGCAGTCCCTCCTAGCTTGGTGATCTCTACAGCTTTAACAAGTATTGTGTCTACTCCATCCTCCAGGTCATTAATGAGAATAATGATTAATATCAGATATAGGGCAGACTCATTGAATATATCCCTCCATTTTGATGATGAGCTAATAATAACTACTCCCCAGCT